CTTGCCATTCTCCGCACCAGGATGCGAACTCGTCAAAGAGACAAGTGAAGTCAATACCTCGACAACCGTTCTGCCGAAAACGGTTACACTATCACTCTCCTCTATGTTATTGCCTATCTATCTACTCTTTACCCTCTTACCCCACTGCTGTCCTATCACAACTTCTCGCTTGTTTACATTCCTCTCGTCAAAATGTGTGCTCTTTTGTGGCAAACCTAGTGTGGCCTCATCATACTTGCTATTTACCCCGACCCCTCTCTTTCGGTGGGCTTATCCGACTCGGGCCTCCAATCCGGATCCCTTCGTTATCTCGTAGATCCGTTTCTTATCTTTCTGGTTGACCGATTTCACTCGGGTCCAGTCCCTGTGTGGATTTCACTCCAGGCGCTATTTCTCAAGGCCCCAGAAGCACATACACTTCCGCTTCATTGAGCGGAGCGCTTAAGCTCTGATTCCCATGCTTGCAGATTTTAGGCCTTCCCTTCACGAGTACTCTCCTTGTTAGGAATGTTTTCCTGTTCTGACGATGTCAGTCACATGACGAACGAAAGTTCAGCAGGGATTCTTTGGGGTCGCATGGCGGTGCGCCGAGGACCTATTCGCACAAATCTACAGTCACAGCTTCAAGGTTTCCGGTGGAATCAACTTACCAATCCTTTCTACTTGCCTCTTCAAATTAAATGAAGGGTACTCCAACGTTAGTGAGCTTTGCCGGTCTTAGCACCACACTACAACTCGTCATATAGAAAAGGGCTAAACTTCACTTGTCTCTTTGACGAGTTGCAGTGCGGGGCTTAGAATTGCAAGGCTCACTGACGATGCCTGCGAAACGTCCACGCTCCGACTCTGGAAAGTATCATGAATACTATGGACTGCGGACAAGGTGTGTGTTTCTAAGTCTTCCTGCCCATATGACCAATCTGCGAAAGCACGGTCAAACAACTACTATACAGCGAAAGGAGGCTATACAAAAAGGTCACACAATCTTGATCCTTATATCCTCATAAACTCCTAGGACAATGGACTTTTCTTTGCTGAATACTGCTCTCTTGCACCGACACCATAGAACGCCATCAGCTTTGCTTTGCTACATAGAATCCTCACCTGTAGTTTTTTTCCTATACAAGATACTCCGTGACTCATTATCTTGTTCCTCTATACAAGGCCGGGTATCATAAATTGTAACTCGAAGACAAGCAGATATTTATGGTGAACAACTTAGATAGCAAACAGTTATTTTTGCTAATTTCCTAAAGCTTCTTTAATAGTGATGAAGTAATATTTTGATATTTACAAAAGCTATCTTTAATTGATCAAATATTAGCTGCGGATATACTCTACGGGTATAACGAATGCCAGTTCTTAACTTACACGATATTTTAATTTTGACAGGAATATGTATTAGGCTGACAGTAACATAATTCATGAATGTCGTGAAGACCAAAAGGGTCATATTCTGGA